GGACTTAGAGCTCACTCTACCAGAGCAGTGGCCTCATCTACAGCCTTGTTACGTGATATTGATGTGCCTGATATCTGCAGGACGGCCACTTGGTCTAACATCTTCACCTTCATCACCCATTACAGACTAGACCTGAGGGCTAAGAGAGAGGCAGCCTTTGGAAGAGCAGTGCTGACATCCGTCCTTCAGTGCCGGCTCCCCCCTTTCGGTGAGTTAGCTTGCTAGTCACCCTTTTGTGTGCATTCACAGAACACCATGATGAAGAAAGACGGGTTACTTACCTGTAACCATGGTTCTTCAAGTGGTCATTCTGTGAATTCACACAATCTCACCCGGCCTCCCAACTATCCGTCACTGAGTATATTAGATTTATGTTCTGTCCAGCTCATGTGGCTCCTTTTGTGGTGGATAAATGGAACTGAGGCTTGGGTGGGCGGAGCATGCACAGTGTAGGCAACCTAAAACTCTGTTTCTTTTTCTATTTAAGCTCTAGAACATTCCGAGAGGATCATCGCTGGTGCTGATTTAACCCTTTTGTGTGAATTCACAGAATGAAAACTTGAAGAACCATGGTTACAGGTAAGTAACCTGTCTTTTCATCTGTACGCTTAAATGCTCTTGAAAGTCCCCTGGACTGCAAGAAGAACAAACCTATCAATTCTAAAGGAAATCAACGCTGAGTGCTCACTGGAAGGACAGATCCTGAAGCTGAGGCTCCAGTACTTTGGCCATCTCATGAGAAGAGAAGACTCCTTGGAAAAGACCTTGATGTTAGGAAAGCGTGACAGCAAGAGGAGAAGGGGACGACAGAGGATGAGATGGCTGGACAGTGTCATTGAAGCTACCAACATGAAATTGACACAGATACGAGGGCCTGGCGTGCTCTGGTCCATGGGGTCACGAAGAGTCGGACACGACTAAATGAACGAACGAACCCGTCTTTTCATCTGTACTCTTAAATGCAGTTGCCATTATTTTGAGCTAGTAATGATGTTTTTGCAAAGCTGCCGTGGCACATTCTTAGTTGTGATTCTTCTTAAATTCCTCCTGTGTTTTCATTTTCTCTTCCTGTGGTCTGTGTAACCTGACAGGTGAGGCCAGACAAGTGTCCCGAAAGGACCCCCAGAAAGACAAGGAAACGGAAATGGAGCATAGTATACTAGCATGTCTTTCCAGTCATATAAGACTCCTAGATTCAATTTAGTCTTCCATATATAGAAGGCAGAAGAAAGCAATTTTCATAAGTTACAAGGATTCCCCAACCTTCTGGAATAGAATGTTTCAGGTACAGAAAAGGAAAGTAAATTGGAGAAAAACATAATCTCCCTCCCCCTTAGGTTTACTGAAGGCTTCACTGGATCACATTGCCTTCTGTGAATCAAAAGACACTGCTCCATTCAGTCCACCGTATCTGTGTAATAGAATTTCTTCCTGGAGTCAAATTTATGAGCACTGATAGTAATTTTTTTCACAGTTATTGCCTCTGTTTCATTGACAAAATATGCAACTTGCAGTGATTTGCAAAGGGAATTATTTGGTGTAACTTTGTTTAGCTTAGCTTATTATTATTACAGTCCATGACCAGCAAAAGACATTAAGCAGAATACAGTTATGCCTCGCAAGACGAAAATAATTCGTTCCGCAAGTCGTGTCGTCTTGTTAAATTTTCGTCTTGTGAGGCACGGTTTCCTGTAGGAATGCATTGAAATTTAATTAATGCGTTCCTATGGGCGAAAAAAGTCACTTACCAGGTAGCCCCGGAGAACAAGGAGCATCTGTAACAAGGAACGCCCCCCCTCCGCCCGCCACATTTATCTGCCTCCGCCTCTTTGGCCTGCATGGGTCTTCTCCCCGGATGTTTGAGTCTGGCTTTTCTATTGGATCCTGGTGCTGTTTCCTCCTAAAGGGTGTGTGTGAGCAGAGCTCCGAACAGCTGAGAGGCGGCAACCAGCTGAGAGGCGGCAGCCATGCCCTGGTCATCTCCGCTGGTTGTTACCTCTCAGCTGTTCGGCACTCTGCTCACACACACCCCTTAGGAGGAAACAGCGCCAGGATCCAATAGAACAACCAGACTCAAACATCCAGGGGAGAAGCCCCCCACGTGCCAAAGAGGTGGATGAATGCAGCGTGGGTGGCCGGCGTGCTGGACCATTGTTACAGACACTCCTTGGTCTCTGGGGCTACCTGGTAAGTGACTTCCCATAGGAACGCATTAATTAAATTTCAGTGCATTCCTATGGGAAACCGCGCCTCGCAAGATGAAAATTTTTGCCAGACACGTCTTGCGAGTCACTGAAAAACTCGCAAAACGCTTTCGACTTGTGAGTTTTTCGTTGTATGGGGCATTTGTCTTGTGAGGCATCACTGTACAGATTAAATTTATAAGGGAGCCACTATGCTGAAACAGAGGGAAAGAGTAAAGGAAAGTTATAGCTTAAAATCATAACTCATTAAATATTTACGTATCTTGCAGGCAGCTGTGAGAAATTTTGCACATGTAAGCGCAATCTGAGGATTAAGACCTAAAAGTAGTTTGTGTGAGATATCTGCAAAAGATTAAAAATGTCTACCTGATTACACCTTCTGTAGATTTATTGAATGAAATTGTTTTGGAAAAGCAATACAAGCAGTACCTTAATTTTTTTTTCTTGGACAGGTGGGTAAAATGACTTTGATGTAAATATTAAACTTGCAGGAATCAAATCATTACTTGAGTCATCTGATTTATATATTTCCACATCTATCCTTTACCTTTAGGTTGAGAATGTGGGTTTTAGCAGATAAAGTTGCAGGCCTCTCTTTGCCCAATGGTGCCCTCGTTCAGAAGGTTGGCATGTCTTTTGACTGCAATGGGACCTGGTTTCTATATTATCTTTTATGGGGTGTATGCTGGTTTGGTCTAGACATGAGCTTTCATTTCCAATCTAAACAGGATTAGGGAAAGCACATTAATCTTAATGTCGTAGAAATCACAAATAAAGTCATGTGTTCAGTTTCATTCTTGACAGACTTGTCTATAAAGTAAACAGAGCTACTTAGGCTTTTACAAGCAGCTTTTATTTTGCTGTTTACAGCACTTGGAACACCAAAGTTCCATATTATGATTTATGTATTATGATTCTGTGGAAAAAAATTCAAATATAAGAATTATTGTCGTCATAAAAACTGTCATTTCTAAATGTGCATGTATATATTTTACTGGAAATCTGAACTATTTATGTTGTATTTAAAGTTTGTCTACTTCAATATGACTACTGTGAGATGTTACTAAAGTAATACTGTAAATGGTTCTGTTTGCACAGTGTTAATCAAGTATCTAAATGCTGTTCAATTTTTCAAAGTACAAGCAAGTAAAGGAGGCAAATCCATATTAAATGACAAAATAATTCAAAATTAATGGAGAGTCCACTTTTTAAGATTCTAGAACAATGATAAAAGTGCTGTTTCTTATGAATACTTAGTGAAATCTCAAAAGTAGGGATGCTCTGTGCATCTTTTGCCTCTTGAGAGAAGTCTTCAAATATTAAAGATGGTGATGACTGCCAGGTAGGCTGCTTTAGAAAGGGAATTCTACAAATAGGGTGCCCCCATTGAGAGGGCTTTCTGTCTCATCTCCATTCACCTTTGGATGGCAGAGAATATGAAAGCGAGCTTCTGGCAAATGGCTGCAGTGCACAGGCAGCTTGTTATGGGACATACTGTAATTGAATTTATCTATCTAGGTCCTAAGTCATATAGGGTTTTAAGAGTAAGGACTAGAATTTTAAATTGTGCTTGGAAACAGACCAAAAGGCATTAAATTGTTTCAGTAGCAGTAAGATATGTTCCTGCCAACTGGTCCCTGCAGATAGCCTGATGGCTTTTACAGTATTCAAAGATAGGGTCCCTATCATCCAACATTCTTTTGAAGAAAATCCTGGATGGTATCAGACTCTACATTACTGTGGGCAGATTGCCTCTTTTCAGGAGAGCCTGGTGCTATTGAACCAGCAGCCTAAGGTGATACAAGCCAGTTTTTGACACAGAGGTTACCTGAGATACCAGTGGCAAATCGAGTAGTCCCAGCTTACCAACTCAGTCCTTTGTTGGGGAGGGGATGCAATATTACACAGTATTTCTAAGCACAGCACCTACTCGCAGAGCTTGAATCTTGCTGAGACAGAGCTGCTGGGCCTGCTGAGACATGGTGTTATTGATTCTGCCCTGAATCTGAAGAAAAGGAGGAAGAGTTGTCAGAAGAATGCTAATAGCAAATAGGTAAAGGTAAAGGTTCCCCTTGACATTTAGCCCAGCTGTGTCCGACTCTAGGGTGCAGTGCTCTTTCCTGTCTCTAAGCCATAGAGGAGCCAGTGTTTGTCTGGAGACAGTTTCCATGGTCATTTGGCCAGCACAACTAGACACGAAACGCTGCTACCTTCCCACTTAGGTGGTACCTATTTATTTACTCACAATTTTACATGGTTTCGAACTGCTAAGTTGGCGGGAGCTGGAACAAGCAACGGGAGCTCACTCCATCAAGTGGATTCGATCTTATGACTGCCAGTCTTCTGACCGTACAGCACAGAGGCTTCTGCGGTTTAACCCGCAGCACCACCACATCCCCTAATAATAGCAAATACAAATTAACAGATGCCTGCCTTTGATCTTTTTCATGATGAACAGAATATGAATCAGTGTGTAGTCCTATTGTTTGTTAGGTTTCTATAGGACAGCAGTAGACAAGGTGTGGCACTCCAAATATTGTTGCCTGTGCTGGATCAGTGAAGAAGAGTTGCAACAACAAAATGTGAAGGGTCCAACTTTGCCCACTCCTGCTAGAAGGCAAACAAATCTCTTGAGACTATGAGCTACTTGAACTTGCCTGTATTTTAAAATGTGTTAAGTTTTTTTTTAAGAATTGCTGAAATATATGGCTTTTAAAAATACATATGTAAACAGTGCGATTCTTTTTTTGACACAATTGTAATATATTTTACAACCTGTCTCCCCCCCCCCCATAGTAAGTCTTCAGTCCAGAGACAGAATAGGAACGGGAGGGCAAGTTGTGGACTGCAGTAGACTGTTTGACAATGATTTACCTGATGGGTAAGTTTATACTTTAAAAGCAAAACATTTTGTGGGAAAATACTGTATATGGAATGAAAAATATAGTAGGCAAAATCCTGTTAGGCAATTTTGCTTCTGGTGTAACCTGGATCAGGCACCAGAAACACTTAATTTGCACTAATTAAAAGCTTACTACCTCCCTCTTTTAGGGTCCAAGACTTTCTAGGGCTAGCTTTTGCTCTGAGGAGGTCTTTGGGACCCACAGAACCTGTGAGTGGGCAGCCTTTAAAAGTAAAAAAAAAAAAATCATCACTGAATTACTGCCACTAGGAAGATCAGGACTGCCTCCACTGATCCAGCAGCAATTTTTGACTTCTAAAGGCTCCCTCCCAAAGAGTCTGAGGGCAAAAGGTAGCCATAGGGACCCTGGGAACCTAAAACGGGGGTCGGGGACCGTTATATTTACAAAGCATAGAAGAAAACCTTGGTTCTCTATTTATCCTTCTTATAATACAAACATTCTCATATGTCATTACATCAATTTTTTTAATTATAGTTTCTTAAATAATATAGGAAGTTGTGATTAATTTTCTCAAACAATTTTTATAGAAATTTCTTTTTAAAAATATGGGAAGGGAGCATGATGTCTGCTGTAATTTTCTCTGTTTTGTGGTTAACTCCGTTCTTTTACAGAATGTTGCAACTTTTTGGTGTTTTTTTAAATGATGTAAGCTACCTAGAATCGTATTTTGCGAATAGAAGGATAAGACATAACCCTCGTCCCAAATCCCACATAGACAACATGGTGTCAGTGTTATTTAACACTTGTAACAGTTTGGGGAGTTATTAAACTGCCCCATGTGTATTGAGACTTTAATGAAAACACTGTTGCAAACCCATGGTCATATGAATTCACAAACACTGAATTTTAAAGTGATTTCTCCATATCTCACTGGCTTCAGACTCATTTTTGTTTCTTCTTGATTTTAACAAGTAATTCAAAGTTTATGAATATGTATGTTCATTTACACATGTGTAGTAAAGGTAAAGGTAAAGGTTCCCCTTGACAATTTTTGTCCAGTCGTGTTCGACTCTAGGGGGCGGTGCTCATCCCCGTTTCCAAGCCATAGAGCCAGCGTTTTTGTCCGATGACAATCTTCCGTGGTCACATGGCCAGTGCGAATTAGACACGGAACGCTGTTACCTTCCCACCGAGGTGGTCCCTATTAATCTACTCGCATTTGCATGCTTTCGAACCGCTAGGTTGGCGGGAGCTGGGACAAGTGACAGGCGCTCACTCCGTCACGTGGATTCGATCTTATGACTGCTTGGTCTTCTGACCCTGCAGCACAGGCTTCTGCGGTTTAGCCCACAGCGCCACCACGTCCCCCTACACATGTGTAGACACACATTAAATTCAGAAAGACTCAATTTTTATAAGAAGAGCAGCATGCATTTATTTCTCTTGCATTTGATCTCTCTGTACTTGACCACATTTACAGCTGAGAAGTATCATGGATGAGGGAAAAAGTTAAGACACTGGGTTGGGTCCAGTATCTGCCTTCCCCCCTGTCAGAACACCTCTGCTTCTGGAAGATCTCTCCACTTGATTTGCAGGGATTCCCTTCCCAATATACCACAGCTCACTTTATTTAACCCTATAAGCTTTTGTGTGGCATTTGAAGGAGGCAGATTGACTGCCAGGGAATTCTGTCAAGTCACTTCTCCACATCTAAACCTGGACCCAATCTCTAGCTTAAATTCTTATCTAAATATAATCTCAAAAAGTTTATTGATACAAACTTATTATAAATAAAGTGTCTTTTTATAAATTTTAGTTGGGAAGAAAGGAGGACAGCATCTGGAAGAATTCAGTACTTAAATCATATTACACGAACAACACAGTGGGAGCGGCCAACACGGTAAGAATCTCTTTCTTAAAATGTGTGTAAAGGAATCTAGGCCCCCACACCTTTTATCATATTCAGTGGAAGCTCACCATTTATAACTTCCTAAGCATTATTTTTTGCAGTTCCGCAACACACACCCAATTAGCATTACAGCTCATCTTTTCATTTTTCATTATGAGAATCTACCCTAGTATTGCTCCTATAAGATAAATCCTTTCTGTTCTGCAACCTGTATCTTAGAAAGTGATTTCTCCATATCTCACTGGCTTCAGACTCATTTTTGTTTCTTCTTGATTTTAACAAGTAATTCAAAGTTTATGAATATGTATGTTCATTTACACATGTGTAGACACACATTAAATTCAGAAAGACTCAATTTTTATAAGAAGAGCAGCATGCATTTATTTCTCTTGCATTTGATCTCTCTGTACTTGACCACATTTACAGCTGAGAAGTATCATGGATGAGGGAAAAAGTTAAGACACTGGGTTGGGTCCAGTATCTGCCTTCCCCCCTGTCAGAACACCTCTGCTTCTGGAAGATCTCTCCACTTGATTTGCAGGGATTCCCTTCCCAATATACCACAGCTCACTTTATTTAACCCTATAAGCTTTTGTGTGGCATTTGAAGGAGGCAGATTGACTGCCAGGGAATTCTGTCAAGTCACTTCTCCACATCTAAACCTGGACCCAATCTCTAGCTTAAATTCTTATCTAAATATAATCTCAAAAAGTTTATTGATACAAACTTATTATAAATAAAGTGTCTTTTTATAAATTTTAGTTGGGAAGAAAGGAGGACAGCATCTGGAAGAATTCAGTACTTAAATCATATTACACGAACAACACAGTGGGAGCGGCCAACACGGTAAGAATCTCTTTCTTAAAATGTGTGTAAAGGAATCTAGGCCCCCACACCTTTTATCATATTCAGTGGAAGCTCACCATTTATAACTTCCTAAGCATTATTTTTTGCAGTTCCGCAACACACACCCAATTAGCATTACAGCTCATCTTTTCATTTTTCATTATGAGAATCTACCCTAGTATTGCTCCTATAAGATAAATCCTTTCTGTTCTGCAACCTGTATCTTAGTAAAATTCAGATTTGGCTGCATCTGGAACTCCTTTGTTTTCCTGTGGTGTGTGTGACTTTTATGGCAAAAGAACTGACAGCTGCAAAATAGAAAGGAGATAGAGCATTATTCTTCATATTTAATAAATTGTATTTCCTTGTGACCTAGATCTCTGTAGTGCTGCTCATGGAAATTAACGCAGTTACCATGGGAGAAGTGGAGCTGGAAAGAGAAACTGGCTGATTTTTGAATAGTTGCCACTCTGCTATGATGCCAGCCAACAACCACAAGCCAATGGCATATTGGCAGGCATAGAAGACCATTATTTCTTGCATTAAATATTTTAAATATTACATGTCAGATTATTCCGAATCAGGAAGAAATTACCATGTTCATGTTTAAAATTCTGGCTTGTGACTTTTGAATGAACTGTTTTGCAGTTCTGGCTGTAAAGGGATCAACAAGGCCAGGGTGTCTGGTTCAGGTAATATGTTAAGCAAAATATTCCTGCAAAGAGGAAGAACTTGGGAGTGAATCCTTGTTTATTTTGAGCCAAGTTTTTGTTTTGTAAGAACCCTTGGTCATCATTACTCAGAAATATAGCCACTTAAGCCCTCCTCCCCATGTCTCCTCTCAAATCCTCATGGCTCCATTTGTAGTAGGATGCAAATAGAGTGCATATTTCTGTGCAAAGCTGCATTGGATGTTTTGTAGCCATGAGTCGTAATTGTCTCCTTTTACCAATGGCTCAGAAGTTAATTAATTTGGTTTCTTAAACTTTTTGGGATTCACCTAATGTCAGTGAGTCATAGCATTAAGTAAAACTATAGTTTTAATTAAAGCAATAGTTCAACAGAAGCAATTATGTTGATAAAGAAAACATATATTTTCCTCTCTTAATAGGCCAGCTTCAGAATATTCCAGTCCTGGTCGACCGCTGAGCTGTTTTGTGGATGAAAACACACCCATTACAGGAATTAATGGTGCAACATGTGGACAGTCATCAGACCCCAGGCTAGCAGAAAGAAGAGTGAGATCTCAGAGGCACAGAAATTATATGAGCAGAACCCATTTACATACCCCTCCAGACTTACCCGAAGGATATGGTATGTATTTTAAAAGTTCCCTGATAGCTTGTTTAGCCTCTTACAAGACCATGTACTCATGGTCATTTCTGAAGTTGCGAGAGAGGGACTTCCACTTTCCTGCTTTCCTGGCACTGGTTCCAGTCCAGAATTAGTGGTTTGCTAACTGTACAAACTGGTGCTAGAGTCCCGTCAAGAAAAATCCAGTTCCCTAGGATTCTGTGGCTAAATGGAATAGTGAAATTGATACTCCATATAATAATCTGCTTCTGATGTAGTCAATACACTATGATGTGAAGGGAGACCTTCAGGTGCTTGGGAAAAAAAGTAGATGAAAGCATTGCCAAGAAAAAAATAGCCTTGATTTTGTGCTTTTAAAAATAAAATAAAAAAGTTTCTGAACAAGAGAGCAAACTGTTACTTTATACACATTCTTATCTATCTGTCTTTCAAGAGGGTTTTTTGAACAAAAAAAAATCTGCTAGACCATATGGCAAGATACATGTTTTTTTTTAAAAAATTAATGGTTTCATAACTTTCTGCTATGGAGAAAATGGAAATTTGAATGTCTGTTCTGATTGGGAAATATTACCAGACTTCTGAGTTAGTCTCAGAGGCAGAGTACAAAGGTTTAAATATTGTACTTTAGTTCAGTTTCTGATAATTATGGGACATGGAGCTTAGCTTTTCTAAAGAAGACAATTTTGCCAACCTTCTGATTAGATAAAACTTGCAATTTGAGATTTAATTATATTACTACATGTACAGAATATACTGTCAAATTTAAATTTCTAAGCCCTGGGGTCAAGAACAACTTGCCAACCTGCTATTCTTCCAGCCATAGAACATAGAACTCCTCTCGTCACAAGCAGTTTAAATTAGATGCTTGCCCCTAAGAGACTGATCTAGCACGTACTCTGTATGCAGTAGTCTGTGCATGTACTGCTACATGTGAGGACTCTCTGCTGTATACAATATAAGCTCAGCCATATCACTTGATATGTATCGCTTTGAGGATGGCTTGAAAGGGGAAGCATAACCCCCCCCATAATTGTATTATCAGTTGGTAATGTTTATGGCCCTATCCAGCAAAGAGTATTGAGTATCCTTTTTGCACATATGCAGTCTGCACTGTGCAATGTTATGTTCTTTTCTTACAAGTACTAGATCCAGCCCTAAAGCCCATCCATGTGCTTATTTATCTGCACAAAATTCACTCACATGATTGGGTTAGTTTGTAGTTGGGGCAGCAGGATTGCTGCCTATCAAACATTTTTAATAATGATGATGATGATGATGATGATGGTTGTTGTTGTTGTTGTTATTGTTGTTGTTGTTGTTGTTGTTGTTGTTGTTGTTGTTATTATTATTATTATTNTATTATTAATGGTCAGTGACCAGGAAGATAAGAATACATTATTTAGATAAAATCACATAATATCAGAGACATTGGTCAATACGTAACACCATCAATGCACCCTCTGGCTCTTTTATGACATTAAAGTTAAAAAGTTCTGAATTAGTTAGCAGCATTGAAGGATGTAAAAGCTATCCAACATTCGTGGTTAGTTTTGACAGGAAAAGATTAAAGAAAGCTTTGTGGACAAGAAGAGGAGGCATTTCTTTGTGATTGTATCTGCTATCATAATAGAGGGAGCTTTAAAGGCAGGAGAATTCCAGAAGAACGTTTGGATAGTGAAGAAGGAAAAAATGGGAGAGGGGGGCAAGAAGATATTTCTTCCAGGAAGCACCCAGGTGGAAATTGGGTGAAACGAATGAATGGGCTTGAGTAGCAGTTGTTGGGGATGGCAATAGATGAATATGACACACAGCATCGGTATCTAATATAGAGGAGTGGATGGGAGTCTGGGATAGAGGAAGGGAAGTGTACTGTGTTTCTGCAGCATCTCCCACCACTAATAGCTGTTAATTGAAAGTGCAGAAATGCAACTAAACAAATCCCTTCTCATTACAGTGGTGCCTCGACTTACGAACTTTATTGGTTCAGGAAGATGATTGTAACTCGAAATGGTCGTAAGTCAAAGCACCATTTCCCATTGGAATGCATTGAAATGCAATTAATCTGTTCCGGTCGAAGGAAAAAATCATCAAAAAAAATCACTGCAAGACCGGTCGGAAACACAATTAATCCCTTCCAGCTGAGGGGGGGGGGAAGCAATCAACCATGCAAGACCCATTGCAAATGCAAACAAGACAAAGCAAAAAGCAATCAAGCAGATTGTGCAAGATCGGAAATGGGGGGGAACCTAAAAAGCCACCCCGAGTAGACATTGTCTAGAGGGGTGGGGTAAAAATCAAATAAATAAATAAATAAATAAATAAATAAATAAATAAATAAATAAATAAATAAATAAAT